CCGAGACCCCGGCCCCGTAAGTGCCTTTTTCTTCTCTTGCACCATTCTGTGCTCAGGACACGGGGCTGGGCTGGGGCCCTCCATGCTCCTGGAGGCAGCCCTGCCTTGGTGCTGCCTGTCCCAGGAGCTGGCAGAGCCACTGACGCTGTCCCTCACCCCAGAGCTCCCTGGCGCTGTCGAACGGGGAGCGCGCCCGAGCCATCGCCGAGTACCTGAGCAGCAGCAAGAAGAGGAAGGTGGAGGAGAAGGACTTTGTTACAGACTATGTGAGCCCGGGGATGAGGGGCTTGGGGTGACCCCATCCTCTCCTGTGGGGTGGGGAATGGAGCTGCCTGTGCCTCTGGCACAGCTCCAGGCAGGAGTGAGGGCGGCTGCAGCCCCCCTGGCTCCAACCGTGCTCCACGTTTCAGGGCAGCGATGCAGACAAAAGTGAAGACAACTTGGTGGTGGATGAGGTCAGTGTGCTGGGACACTGGGAGAGGTCTGGGGTCAGTGTGTCCTGGGACACTGGGAGGGCTGTGGGGTCAGTGTGTGCTGTCCATCTCTGAGGCACTAACAGGCAGAGGTGGGCATCACAGGGAGGTGCCAGTGGCAGCTGTGCTCCCTGATCCTCGCCAGCAGCAGCAGTGAGCCCCAGGATCCAGGCTGGCATCCTGGCCGTTGTTTGAGCCACCAGCTCCCCATAACCTGGGACATCCCTGCTCTCCAGCCTGCTCTGCTCCCTGCTGATTTCCCTCCTTCCCTCCCTCCCCAGGACCCCTCTTCCCCGCACAGCGTCCACTCCTACTCATCCCGGGAGAACGGGGTGGAGAAGGTCCCAGTGGGCAGGAAGGAGGCCATGCCCCTCAGCCCGACCTCCATGGCCTCCTCCAGCAGCACGTCCCCGTCTCGGAGCAAGGATGCACCCACGGTAGGTGTGACTTGTGCCCTTGCTGCCTGGGCTCAGCTGGCAGAGTGGCCGTGGGTCCCCCTGCCTCCAAAGCCATGGGGCAAAGTGCTGGAGGGACAGGGAGGTCCCACAGGCCCTTCAGCACTGTCTGGGCTGGGCTGTCACTGAGGGGGAGCCAACAGGGACCCCCTGGCAGGGGCGTGGTGCAGTTGCCAGCTCCCCATTCTGTTCCTGGCAGGTGGAGAAGGCAGGAACGCCCAGCCTGAAGTCCAGCACCCCCACCTCCCAGGGTGACACCCTGCCAGGCTCCAGCAGTGCCCAGCAGTTTCGCCCCGCCGCTGCCAAGGTCCCCGTGGACCCTCTGGGTGAGCTTGGCCCCGCTGGGGCTTGGGTGGGTGTCCAAGCTCTGTCTCCAGGGCCCCATCCCTTGACTCTGCCTCTCCCCCACCAGCCCTGAGCCTGAGGAATCCGCTGGGAGTGCAGAGCCCCTACTCGGCCGCCTTTGGCTTGGCCCACCCTGCGGTCAACGGGGACGTGGCGGGGACGGGCGCCTACGCCAGCCTGCACCTCATGTCCCCGCAGCTCAACGGGGCCGCGGCCGCCGTGGGAGCCGGAGGCTACGGGCGCTCGCCCCTGGTGCGTGACCGGGTCCCTGCGGGGCTGTGGGGCCACGGAGTGTGAGCCCCTCTCACCCGCTGTCCCCCGCAGGTGGGCTACGACCCGCACCCCCACATGCGCGTCCCGGGGCTGGTGACCGGCATGCAAGTGGGGACCTCGGGCAAGCCGTGAGTGGGGCTGGGCTGGAGGGGCTGCGCTGGGGGAGGGGATGTGGTGGTGTGTGGGGATGAATTTGGGAAGTGTGGATGAGGTGGGGGCAGCAGGGATGGGGAGCACAGCCTGAGGGAAAGCCGGGCTGTGGTTTTTGTGTGCCCAGCTGGCATCGCTGGGTGTGTTCTGCTCATGGCTCCGACTCCAAACCGTGCTGCCTGTGCTGGACCCGTGTGGCACTGGCTGCTGTCCATGCAGGATCTCACTGCTCCGCTCCTCACTGCTCTGCTCCCTTCCAGTGCCTACTCCTTCCACGTCAGCGCCGACGGGCAGATGCAGCCGGTGCCTTTCCCCCCCGACGCCCTCATGGGCTCCGGCATCCCCCGGCACGCGCGGCAGCTGCACACCCTGACCCACGGCGAGGTGGTCTGCGCCGTCACCATCAGCAACTCCACGCGACACGTCTACACCGGGGGCAAGGGCTGCGTCAAGGTCTGGGACGTGGGGCAGCCGGGCACCAAGACGGCCGTGGCTCAGCTGGACTGCCTGGTGAGGAGGAGGAGGAGGAGGAGGAGCAGAAATGGCTTTGGGCTGGGGCTGGGAAGGGCAATGTGCCCCTGCTCCAGTGGAGGGGACAGAGGGGCCTTTCACATCTGCAGTGGGAGAAGGAGAAGAGTCTCCTGCAAGGCCCTGTGTGCTCATCGTGTGCTCCTTGCCTTGCCCTGTGCCTGTGACAGAACCGTGACAACTACATCCGTTCCTGCAAGCTGCTCCCCGACGGCCGCAGCCTGATCGTGGGTGGGGAGGCCAGCACCCTGTCCATCTGGGACCTGGCAGCCCCCACGCCCCGCATCAAGGCTGAGCTCACCTCCTCTGCCCCCGCCTGCTACGCCCTGGCCATCAGCCCTGACGCCAAAGTCTGCTTCTCCTGCTGCAGCGACGGCAACATCGTGGTGTGGGACCTGCAGAACCAGACCCTGGTGAGGTGAGTCTGGGGCAGGGGCAGCACGGGCGGGACTGCTGGGGGCTCCTCGGGCCAGGGACCCCTCAGTCCCCTGCAGCACGTCCCTGTGTCTACCCCTGGCCAGGGGACAGTGCCTGTCCCTGCAGCTCCTCACTGCTGGCTGCTGCAGGAGCTGGCTGCCCTGACAGCTGTGCCCTCGCCCTCTCCATCCCCTCTTTCCCAGGCAGTTTCAAGGCCACACAGATGGTGCCAGCTGCATTGACATCTCCAACGATGGCACCAAGCTGTGGACAGGGGGGCTGGACAACACCGTGCGCTGCTGGGACCTGCGGGAGGGGCGGCAGCTGCAGCAGCACGACTTCAGCTCCCAGGTAGGGCTGGAGCCCCCCGGCAGCGCCCTGGGGCCAGCTGGGACCTGCTGGGCCACTGGGTGAGCCTGTCTGTGCCCTCAGATCTTCTCCCTGGGCTACTGCCCCATGGGGGAGTGGCTGGCGGTGGGCATGGAGAGCAGCAACGTGGAGATCCTGCACGTCAGCAAACCCGACAAGTACCAGCTGCACCTCCACGAGAGCTGTGTCCTCTCTCTCAAATTCGCCTCCTGCGGTAGGCACGCCTCTCCCGGCCCCCCTTGCTCTGGAACCTCATGGATGCCACCTCCACTTCTGTCTGTGTGTCACAGGGCTCGTTGCACTGTGGGCAAGCATGTGCTCTGGTAGCCAGCCCTGTCCCCATCAGAGAAGGGGTATCCATCCCTCTTGGAGCAGTGCTGGCTGCTGGAGCCAAACTCCCCTTTGTGTTCCCTTGGCTCATGGCTGGCAGAGCTGTGGCTGCCTCTCTCCGTGTGTTTCACAGCCTGGGCAGGATCTGCTGCTGGGATCCAGCTCTGGGCCTGGTGTGGTGACATGAAGCTTTGTCCCTCCACAGGGAAGTGGTTCGTGAGCACGGGGAAGGACAACCTGCTCAACGCCTGGCGGACGCCCTACGGAGCCAGCATCTTCCAGGTGGGCAGCCAGCAGGGCTGGGGGTTCCTGGGGTGAAGGAGCTGCCCACAAACCCAGCTGTAATTGTGTGTCAGCCCCATAAACTCATCCCTGCAGCCTCCCCAAGGAGTGGGGGTTGGGACCTTGCTGTGGGGCTGCTTCTTGTGCTTACCCCTCTTCTCTGCAGTCCAAGGAAACCTCCTCAGTCCTCAGCTGTGACATCTCCACGGACGACCAGTTCATCGTCACGGGCTCAGGGGACAAGAAAGCGACAGTTTACGAGATCATTTACTGAGCCCCAGAGGTGCCAACTGCGGGACAGGCAGGTGTCCACGGGGATGGACAGGTGGACTCTACCTGCCCTGCTGCTGACTTCCCAAAGAACGTGCAGCCAGTGGCTGTGGCATCCCAGCTGGAAGAGAGCAGAGAGGGGTGGAGGTGGCCCTGGGACCGTGGCCAGGCATGGTGCAGGCTGCTGCTCGGGGTGGATTTCCTGGGGACTTTCTCCTTGTTTTGTTCTTTGTGGGTTTCTTTCTAAATCTAGACTGTGGGAGTTGGAGATGGGGGGGAGGTCTGGCATTGTTAGGGGTTTTGTTTGGGTGCTTTTTTTATTTTTGTTTTTAACTTTTTGTTGTGGGGTTTTTATTTGTTTAAGGCTCTGGGCCTGCCAGGGTGGATGGGCTCGGGTCTCACTTCCCTCTGTGCCTCCCAGGGTGTATTTAATAATAAAAACAAACCAAAAAAAAAAAAAAAAGGCAGCTGTGCCTCGTCCTGGGCAGTGGCCTCGATGCTCTGTGGGGCTGGGATGGAGCCAGGTGGGAAGGGGTGACACCACGGCAGGAGCCTTGTCCCTTTTGGTCACTACTGGCTGCTCCTTTCCTGTGCTGAGGGAGCTCCTGAGTGGGCAGAGCCCATCCCTGGCCCTGGCAGTGGTGGGGAGCACAGTGTGGGCACAGAATGGTGCTGGCTCTGCCGTGCCCCAGTGGAGCAGCCTCGGGCTCCGTGGGTGTGGGAGAGAGCAGAGGCTGGCGCTGGAGGAAGTGGTTTTTGAAGGAAATGAGATGTGAGCACTCAGCGCCTGCCTTATCGGTCTGGCTGCCTGCCAGCACTGCCGTGGGCAAGCAGGGCTGCTCCCAAGAGCCCGGGGCTGGCAAGGGCTGCGGTGTGGCAGCTGCTCTGGGCTCCTGCCCCCAGCCACAGCTCACCACAGGCACCACAGAGCGGTGCTGGAGCTGGAGCTGCCATGGCAGGCCAGCAGCCACACCTCTGCCACGCTGGGAGCATCCTCCCCTGTGCTGCTGGCCAAAAACAGCCCCCCAGGACACCCTTCAGAGCCCAGCCCTTGGCACAGCTGGTAGCACTGGCTGGCAAAGATCCCCGCTCAGAACCAGCCCAGCCCTTCTTTTGTTCCTTTTTATTAGTAAGGGATTGAAAACATAGTTAAATACATTTCTTTACTGATAATTTACAGCTGTTTCTGCAGCAGAAAATGGGTGCCATTAAGTCAGTAGCAGTAATTCAGGAGACACACACTCTCGGGCTTTGTTCAGCTCCCTGAGGGACAGACAGGGCCCAGGATGTCCAGCCCAGCCAAGCTACACCCAGCCCTCACCTCCAGCCTGTGCAGGAGCAGGGGCAGGAGAATGGGGCTGGGGCCTTGGTTTGGTGTCTGAAAGCAGCGGAGGAGAAGGAAAAGTAAAGATGCAGGAGGACAGGTCCAGCACTGGAGGCCTCCTTGAGCCATGATGGCTTAGGACAAGGTGTGTCCCCTTTCCTGATGGTGACTGGAGTCAATAAACCACCTCATACACTGTGGCCTTCTTGTCACCAGAGCCCGTGACGATGAATTTGTCGTTGACAGAGATGTCACAGCTCAGGACTGACGAGGACTCCTTAGACTGTAAGTGAGAGGGCAGGAGGTGAGAGCAGGGCTGGTGCCTGGAGCCACCACCGTGCCCTGCACAAATGCCTCAGCCCACCTGGAAGATGCTGGCTCCGTAGGGCGCCCGCCAGGCGTTGAGCAGGTTGTCCTTCCCCGTGCTCACAAACCACATCCCTGGGACAGGGGACAAAGTGGGTGTCAATGGCTGGGCCACCATTCACGGGAGGTGAGCATGGGGGAATAAAGCACAGGGATAAATCTGAGGCTATCCACAGCCCAGGCAGGAAAAACAGCCCTTGCCTACCGCAGGAGGCGAATTTGAGAGAGAGGACACAGCTCTCGTGGAGGTGCAGCTGGTACTTGTCGGGTTTGCTGACGTGCAGGATCTCCACGTTGCTGCTCTCCATGCCCACCGCCAGCCACTCCCCCATGGGGCAGTAGCCCAGGGAGAAGATCTGAGGGCACAGACAGGCTCACCCAGTGGCCCAGCAGGTCCCAGCTGGCCCCAGGGCGCTGCCGGGGGGCTCCAGCCCTACCTGGGAGCTGAAGTCGTGCTGCTGCAGCTGCCGCCCCTCCCGCAGGTCCCAGCAGCGCACGGTGTTGTCCAGCCCCCCTGTCCACAGCTTGGTGCCATCGTTGGAGATGTCAATGCAGCTGGCACCATCCGTGTGGCCTTGAAACTGCCTGGGAAAGAGGGGATGGAGAGGGCGAGGGCACAGCTGTCAGGGCAGCCAGCTCCTGCAGCAGCCAGCAGTGAGGAGCTGCAGGGACAGGCACTGTCCCCTGGCCAGGGTTAGACACAGGGACGTGCTGCAGGGGACTGAGGGGTCCCTGGCCCGAGGAGCCCCCAGCAGTCCCGCCCGTGCTGCCCCTGCCCCAGACTCACCTCACCAGGGTCTGGTTCTGCAGGTCCCACACCACGATGTTGCCGTCGCTGCAGCAGGAGAAGCAGACTTTGGCGTCAGGGCTGATGGCCAGGGCGTAGCAGGCGGGGGCAGAGGAGGTGAGCTCAGCCTTGATGCGGGGCGTGGGGGCTGCCAGGTCCCAGATGGACAGGGTGCTGGCCTCCCCACCCACGATCAGGCTGCGGCCGTCGGGGAGCAGCTTGCAGGAGCGGATGTAGTTGTCACGGTTCTGTCACAGGCAACAGGGCAAGGCAAGGAGCACACGATGAGCACACAGGGCCTTGCAGGAGACACTTCTCCTTCTCCCACTGCAGATGTGAAAGGCCCCTCTGTCCCCTCCACTGGAGCAGAGGCACATTGCCCTTCCCAGCCCCAGCCCAAAGCCATTGCTGCTCCTCCTCCTCCTCCTCCTCCTCACCAGGCAGTCCAGCTGAGCCACGGCCGTCTTGGTGCCCGGCTGCCCCACGTCCCAGACCTTGACGCAGCCCTTGCCCCCGGTGTAGACGTGTCGCGTGGAGTTGCTGATGGTGACGGCGCAGACCACCTCGCCGTGGGTCAGGGTGTGCAGCTGCCGCGCGTGCCGGGGGATGCCGGAGCCCATGAGGGCGTCGGGGGGGAAAGGCACCGGCTGCATCTGCCCGTCGGCGCTGACGTGGAAGGAGTAGGCACTGGAAGGGAGCAGAGCAGTGAGGAGCAGAGCAGTGAGATCCTGCGTGGACAGCAGCCAGGGCCACACGGGTCCAGCACAGGCAGCACGGTTTGGAGTCGGAGGACGTGGAAGAAGGCACTAGAAGGGAGCAGAGGAGAGCCCTGAACAGCCCCTGTGTGACACCCAAGGGCAGGATGTGACCTCTCCGTTAGCCATGCTCAAGCCATGGTTAAAGGTGCCCAAGACATGGTTAAAGGTGCCCAAGCCATGGTTAAAGGTGCCCAAGCCAAGGTGGAAGGTGCCCAAGCCAAGGTGGAAGGTGCCCAAGCCAAGGTGGAAGGTGCCCAAGCCATGGTTAAAGGTGCCCAAGCCAAGGTGGAAGGTGCCCAAGCCAAGGTGGAAGGTGCCCAAGCCATGGTGGAAGGTGCCTGTTGTGCCCTGGCTAATAAGGAGTTTAATTACTCAGCTCCTGGTTACCCCCTGGTTACTGCCAGCAATGAAATGGCGGTGCTGGACTCAGGATTGGAGAGCAGCTCCCCCTTTCAGCCCAGCCCTGCCCTGGTGAGCCCTTGGCAGGGAGATGCTCCCAGCACCCACCTCAGCCCCTTGCCCTCACCCTCCCTGCAGCCCCAGCGTGTGCAGCCACTTACTGCTTCCCTCCAGGGATGGTGGAGAGCGAAGAGGAGAGGGTGGAAGCCCTCAGGTGAGGGTGAGGCTCAAACGCCACCTGCACAAAGCAAAGGGCACATGAGGAGCAGGGCAGAGGACACCAAAGCTGGGCTCAGGCCTTTCCCTGCACACCCTGGCACCAGCCAGCCTGGCTTTGTGCAAACTCCCTGCTGGCTGTGTCCTCCCACGCAGTGACAAAGCTCAAGATGGGTTCCCACAGACACCAGTGGAACCAGCAGAGGCTTCTCTGAGCACGCTAAAGCCACCAGCCTGTGGTATTGCTCTGGGAATGGTTTTTCTCTCCCCAGAGACCCCTGTAGACGTGACCTGTCAGTTTGACCCTTCCTTCCTTGCCTGAATCAATTGGCTTGGAGCCAAGTAGCCCCTCCTGTACTGAGCCTAGATAAGGCTCTGTCCCATCCTGGTTCGCCCTCTTTCCCCCTTCCTCCTATGGAATAAACATCTTGGACCACATTGGGGGTTGGAACCTCTTTTGGAATCTTTTCCCAGCTCCTGATACACTTCCCCACAAAGCCCTTGCAGATCTGGGCTGGCCTGGTAACTTTGGGGGGTCGGTGCATCACCAGCCCCCATCCCAGCCTGGGCAGGAGCCCTTCCTATGGCTGCACCCCCGGCTCCAACCCCAAACAGTGCCAGGGCACAGGCAGCAGGGCTGGCACACCCAGCCTTGCACACCCTGCCTGGTCCGGGGCACAGGCAGCAGGGCTGGCACACCCAGCCTTGCACAGGGCACAAACAGCAGCGCTGGCACACCCGGCCTCCCCACGGTGACTTACCACGGGGGAGCAGCTGTGGAGCAGCGCACTGCCGGCCTGGGGCACCGAGAGCTGGATGCCCACGTAGAGGCCGGGGGGCACCATGCCCAGGGAGGACGTGTAGGGGCTGGAGGAGCTCAGGGGGCTACGGAGAGCTGCACGAGGAGAGACCCGCGTCGTGGCCCTGGCGGCACCCGGGGGAGAGGGGCACCTGGTGACTGCACAGCCACCCCCTCCAAGCCCTGAAGCACCCAGCTTCGTGCAGCCCCACACAAATCACAGTTCATCAGAGAAAAACAGATTAAAGCCCCACTCTGCCCCGACCACTCAGCAGGTCCTAGCCCACCAGCTGCGTGGCAGTGGCAGAGGGGCTCCTGTTGGAGGTTCATAGCTCTGATCTTGTGGGGCAAAATGGCTCTGCCAGCTCAGCTGGTGGCAGACAGGGTCCTGCCCCCTCCCTCCATCCCCACGGTGCTGCCTTGGACACTCACTGACGGTGTCGGTGCTGGGGGCCTTGGCTGGGGGTGGCCCGGGGCCAGGCGTGAGGGAGTCACGGGCTGGTGAGGAAGAGGAGGGCTTGGAGCTGGGAGCACTGGCCACCGAGTCCGTCTGTGCAGCAGAGGAAAGAAGAGCAGCTTCAGCCATGGGAGCAGCAGCCTCCACACCTTGAGGGTGGAAGGAGCTCCTGGATGGAGCTGGGCAAGGACTGGCCAGCCAGGCCCTCATCCCCTCTCTTCTCCTTTGCCCCTCAAATATCCCCACTCTCCCCACAGCTGCAAATGCCCCATGCAAGCTTTGGGTCACCCCAAACTGCCCCAACCCTGCAGTGCCCACCAGCATAAGACCCCACAGACACATCTGCTGCTCCCTCAAGCAAAACTCCTGCATGGGGGGGACATCCCCGTCCCCATCCCCAGCCTGGGACCAAGAGGGTGCCTGGCATGAACTGGCCTTTCCAATCCCCACAGCTATTTCATTCCCTGCTTTTTTTTTTACCCCCCTGCCTCTCCTATTTCTTCTGCTTTTTCTGTCTGGGGATTTTGTCGACACCAGCAAAGGGAAAAAAAAAAAAAAATTAATAACAGAGAAAAGCTACGTGCTGTGCTGGCAGATTGCTCAGGGCGCTTTGTCTGCTCTAATCCGATTGTGCCGGGGAGCTGCTGCTTGCTGCTGCCCACAGCCCCCAGCTGGCTCCTGACCCCAGATGGGGGGACATATCACTTGGTCCCTGCGGTGGCTGGGAGGCCAAGGAGTGGCAGCAACATCCCTCCCCCTTCCCACATGCTGATGTTTCAATCTGAGCATGGACTGGTGCTTGGCAAGGGAAAAAAAAAAGAAAAAAAACACAGAAAAAAAAAAAAAAAGGAAGGAAAAATCAATTGGTATGAGCAGCTCTGGGGAATCCTGCAGGCAGGCGGGTGGAGAACACTGCAGAGCCCAGCAGCACTTACCCTACCCCGAGGGCACGGATCTGTGTCCCCAGCGTGGGGAGTGCCCGTGGGCACAAACCCCCGGCATTTCTCTCTGGCCACACATGGCCATTTCAGACTGGCCACGTAGAGGAATCCATGGCCAAGCTGCTGGCCCCACATGGCACCCCAGGGGCTCCTTACCGGGCTCTGCTCCTTGGGCTGGCCGCAGCCGCTGGCCGCGGGGCTCCCGGGCAGCTCCCGGTGGGACCGAGCCAAGCGGGGCGAGTGTCCGGGGCTGCCGGGCTCCGACGGCGGGTCCTGGGGGGAGAACAGCTCTGTGGGAAGCAGGAACCCCTCTGTGTGGGAGGGCAGGATGACAAAGAACCTGAGAGCCACCACGCCAGTCCCCGCAGCCTGAATGAGGAGCTCTGCTCCCCGGATGAGAAACGGCCTCGGTTTTTCTCTCTGAGCAAAGTGAGAGGTGACAGCGGGTTCAGAGGATGCTGCTGGCCATGGATGCCTTCACAAGGAGGGATGGGGATCAGCACACATGAGGAGCTGAGACAGGGCTGCCATTTCAGAGGCAAGGCCATCCCTCAGCTCTTGCACTCCCGTTCAACCAGGTCTGTGACTTTTTATCAGCACAATGAGTAGCTTTCATAAGCTTCATTTTCTGCAGAAATTCCTCCTGATCCTCCTTTCAGGGCTTGTATTCTCTTAGGAAGTGACACGAGTAAAAAAAGACCTCATATCTTTCTCTCCCCTCTGTCTTCTAGGAAAGGAACAAGCATGTCCCCACAAACATCTTCTCTGCCAAGAACAGCGGTGGCTGGGATCAAGTTCTCTCAGGTGTGCTTCAGACAGGAAAGGCTGTACCAGAAGCATGTGGAGAAGACTGGAATTCAGTGAATGCCCTGCACTGAGGTGAGTTAAAGCTGAGGCTGCTCAAGGGCCAGGCAGGGCAGGACATGGGCCCCAGGCCTGGGGCTGCCAGGGCCAGGGTGGCTCCTGCCACCTCCACCCACAGGAGCTGCCAGCAGCAAGCCCAGCTCCATGGAGCTCTCATCCCAGCTTATCAGCCTCCCCCATATGGGATGCTGCAGCAGAGGGGCTGAAAGGGGATTGTGAAGCAGAGCCAAGCCTGTGGCTGGCAAAGCTGAGCCCTGGCTGGCACAGCCTTCCCAGAGCAGTGGGAGTGGAATCAGACTTGGCTGGCACAACGCACCGGAGCGGGGCTGGCACGTGTCCTGGCTGGCCACTGCTGCCTAAACAACCCCAAAGCTGGGGATCCAGAGTCCTAAACCCAACAACTGCAGCTTGAGCAGGATGCCTTGCCAGGCTCCAAGGGCTTACCTCATCCACCACCAGGTTGTAGTCACTCTTGTCCCCATCGCTGTCCTGCGAGGAGGGAGAAATGCAGAAGGGCTCAGTCAGGACAGGGAGATGCTGGACCAGGCTCTGTGTTCTGCCCCAGGACCCCAGAGGGACCCATTTTCTCCTGCCCATCACTCCCTGGACCAACACCAACCATGTCCTGCAGGCAGTGACCCAACCCTCGGGCTGAGGGGCCTCCCTGGGGCTCCTCATTTGGTTTGTTCTTGCTCACAGGACCCCAGCCCTGTGCAGCAGGGTGGGCACAGGGCTCCCCAGCCGCCTCCCCAGCCCAGCCCTGCCAGCCCCAGCCCTTGGGGCACTCACAGAATGCCCAGGCAGCTCCTTCTCCTCCCTCTTCCTCTTCAGCCCCGTGCGCTCCTCGTCCTGCAGGCTCTCGGCGGGGGAAGAAGAAACGCTCTGAGGCAGAGGGAGAGGAAGGTGTGAGAGCCACTGTGGGGTCAGGCCCTGCTCCATGACCACCTCCATCCTGCCAAAGCATCTCCCTGGCTGCTGGGAAGGACCCCAAAACCCCAAAACCCAGAGCCAAGCAAAGGAGATCCTGCAGAGACAAGGAGCCAGGGTGGAGCAGAAATCCCCACTGGAGCCGTGTTTACTTCACCTCAACCCTGCCACGAGGCTCGGGAAGCAGAATGGAGCCAAGCAGGAAGAACAGCCCTCCCCCAGATGCTGCTGGCAGCTGCAGGGGTGTCACACATCCCCTGGCATCCCCACACTGGTGACAATGCAGCCAGAAGGTGACAGAGATGCCCCGTGCCAGGGCTCCCTGCAGCTGAATGCTCCCAGCACAGGCACAGCAGCAGCTCTGACACTGAGCCAGGGGCAGAAAGGGCCATCCCTGTGCCCCAGGCCATCTCTGGAGGAGGTGCCTGGGCAGTCAGGGCATCACAGACACCTCCCCTCCTACAGATCAATGCCTACAATTCCCCAGTGGAAATCATTAACCCTTCCTTCCCCTGCCCTGGATTCTGCAGAGCTCCTGTGCAGCCTGGGAAGGGAGCCACAGCTCTGGGACTGGGGGGGAATCCTAAAAGGGAGGGGGCAGCCAAGGACTGCAGAGGGGCTGAGAGCTCCGAGACCTGCTCAGAATGATTCCTAAACTGGAAACTCCTTGAAAAGGACAGAGCTGGTTATTTTGGGAGCAGCCCTTGATCTTTAGCTCCTTTGCATCAGCAAAGACTGAATTAAGGTGGCCCAGAACCTTCAGTTACAAAACCCTGATGCAAACACAGCCCACCCAGGCCAGCAAAGCTCACCAGCAGCCCGTGGCCAGCTTGGAGCACACTGGAGATGCCACCAGGGTCACTTGCCTGTCACAACTTACCCGGCTTGGGGTGTGCTCTGGAAGCAGGCAGCAGCAGGGAGAGCATCCCAGGTCCATGGCAGAGCAGAAGGGAGGACAGGGAGAGGTTGTTAATGCCAAGCCTGTGCCCCACAAACCCAGGCAGGAAGGTGAGAGGGGCACAGCAGGAAATAGCAGGACACAGGTTTAGAAAACAAATTTAAAAATCACATCTGCTTTCCCACTTTGCCCACCTGAAGTGTGGATTCTCTGCTGTCTAAAGGGAGGTCAGCACTTTGCTGCTCCTCAGGGAAGCAGGGGAATCTCTATCCACCCACCTCCTTCCAAGAACTTATCCCAGCTCTGGAATCCCTTCCCTAGACATGCCAACAGGTCCAAAGGCACCAGGAGGGGAGAGCTGGGCAGCCAGCTGAGATCCCCTGAATCACACCCATCCTATTTCCTTAGGAAGCCATGCCTTAAAGCCCTGCTTGGAAACTCTGAGCTTTGGTACATGCACAGCAAAGCAGGTCCACTTCCCTGAGCCCAGGGAAGGCATGCCAGGCATTTACTGCAAATCCAAGCACAGGGTTGTGGGCTGGGCTTCAGCAGCCTTCCCTGGCTGATTTTTGCTCCTAAAGATCCACCAGCACTTAGAGAGAACGAGCCCAGGTCCCTGCTGGCACAGAGAGGCAGGCAGGCATGGGAAGCTGAGGGATTCTTGTGGCACTGCTCCAGGGCCGTGGTCTGGAGCAGGACCAGCTGCCTGCCACCAGCCCTGTGCACCCCTGGCTCAGCTTGACTCCCACCAGCTCTGGCTAGCTATGGCAGAGCACTGAGGATTAACCCCAGACAGATGGAGCATTTCAACCTTTTTTTTTTCTTTTTTAAAATAAGGAATGGCCCTCAGCACGGCCAGACACCCAGGCTGATAGAAGTTCTGGCTGGAGGCACAGGCTGCCTGGGCTCTGAGGGTTAAGCAGGCTCAGCACAGCACAGCCTGCTTTTATTCTCTCTCTCTGGACTTTGTTTTCCTCCTTTGTGGAAGCCATCCTTAAAGAAACACGGGCAGGCTTTGAGCTGCAGACAGCTGTGTGCAGGGGGGCAGAGCTGCCACCGACAGCTTCCTGCTGCTCTTTTCACCACCTTGAAACCCTACAGGCCAAACCAGACCATGAGAACCTGCAGCAAACCCCAGCCAGCGCCTGGCTTTGCTGCTGCTGCTCTTGGGTCCTGACCCAAGTGCATTTCAGTCAGCACTTCCCCAGGGGAGTCTGCAGGGAAACATCACTCCTGCTAAATCTGCTGCCTGTTTCCAGCCCACAGAGCTGCCCAGAGCCTCTCTCCTTGTCCCAGCTCCTCTCAGCACAAGCACTCCATGCCTGTGCTCTGAAAAGGTGACCTGAGCTCAGAGCAGCTCCTCCTTTGTGCAGCCCTTGAGCAGCAACAGGCCAGAGCAGAGCTGGGCAGAGTTACTAATTTGGCCCAGGCCTGCCAGTAGCATTCAGAGCACTGATTTAACGATGATTAAATATTGATGATGTTTGTAAGGCACTCGCTGATCCTGATAGGAGGAGGCACCCATCTGGACTAGGAATTAGTGTAATTTACACAGCACAACACACGCAATGAGGCTCTGCTCTCTAAATTCCTCGCCCCAGGCTTGTGGCTGTCACAGTTTCTACCAGGGGCTTGCAACAGTATTTTCCTTAAAAGCCTCATCTTTAAGTATCAGATATTTACTTGGTGTAAAGAGAGAGGATTTCCCTGTGGTGAGGACCTCCCAGCTGCCTCCTGGAGGTGGGGGGGACCCTCATGCACTGGAAACACGCAGGGGAGCAGGGAGAGCTCTGAGTTGGGGTTGTTTAGCCTGGAGGAGGCTCAGAGGTGACCTTATTGCTCTCCACAACTTCCTGAAGGGAGTTTAGACAGGTGGGGTCGGTCTCTTCCACCAGGCAGCACTGACAGAACAAGAGGACACAGCATCAAGCTATATCAGGGAAGGTTTAGGTTGGATATTAGGAAAAAATTTTTCACTGAAAGAATAATAAAATACTGGAATTGTCTTCCTAGGGAGGTGGTGGAATCACCATCTCTGGATATGTTTAAAAAAAGACTGGACTTGGCACTTGGTGCTATGGTCTAGTTGTGGTGTTAGGGCATGGGTTGGACTTGATGATCTTAGAGGTCTCTTCCAACCTCATTATTCTGTGATTCTGTGAGTGCACCAACACTTGCCCAGGGCCAGGGCTGCACACACAGCATCACTGCAGAGCAGCAGCTCCCAGGTCCCAAACAGAGCCAGCCTCTTGGGGCTGCAGCCATTCCATGGGCTGGATTTGCCATCCCCGGGGCTGCAGCAGCCAGGAGCCTCAGCAAAGAGGCAGAGCAGGCAGCAGGATCCCTGCACACGAGGGTGTGCATCCAACTCACAGCCCGGCCAGGGCAAGCAGGGTACAGAGCTGCACAGATTCAGCCCTCTCAGCATTGCAGCAGCAAATCTCACAAGGCTCTGATGGAACCTGACTGTCCCGGAGCAGAGACTCCACTCCCATCCCCAGGGCTCCCCCTTTAAAGGGTTAACCCAGCTGTGCTTCTGCTCCTTACCTGTGTTCTCCCCATCCTGGGCCGCTCTGTCCTCCTTGGTGGCCAGCTGTGCCACCAGTGTCCCAGAGAGGGCCGGGAGCCCTGAGGTGCTGCTGGCCCCGCTCAGGCTGGGGGGCTGCATGCTGGAGGGGTGGGGTGGGGATGCGTGCTGGGAGAGCTGCTGAAGCTGCTGCTGCTGAAAGAGAAAGAGCAAATGGTCCTGGATGTGGAGGAGGCAGCCGCAGGCATGGCCGGGTCCTCCCTCCCCTCCCTCCCCTCCCCTCCCCATGGGCTGCGATGGGATGAGACAGGGACAGCAGCGGAGCTGTGGGGGCTGCACAGGCTGGGTCACACCCCTGCCCCTTCCCCCCGGGGCTCTCTGGGCTCTGAGGCTCAGCACAGCCTCTTTTATTCTCTCTCTGGACTTTGTTTTCCTCCTCTGTCCCTTCCACTCACTGCCCCATCCACCCGCCAGTCCCTCCCTGCTGCAGACACGACCCCATGGCTGTGCCCTGCTCTGCTCAGGGGGTGTCCTACAGGGCACCCAACACCTTCAGGACACCGTGGCAGACCCCTTCAGCACAATGGGTGTATCAAAATAGTAAAAACCCCTAAACAGTAAAAAATGGGTGTGTCAAAACAGTAAAAACTCATAAACAGTAAAAAATGGGTGCATCAAAATAGTAAAAACCCTTAAATTGTTAAAAATGGGTGTATGAAAGTAGTAAAAACCCTTAAATTGTTAAAAATGGGTGTATCAAAATAGTAAAAACCCTTAAATGGTAAAAAATGAGTGTATCAAAGCAGTAAAAAACCCTTAAATGGTAAAAAATGGGTGCATCAAAATAGTAAAAACCCTTAAACAGTAAAAGTAGGTGTATCAAAATAGTAAAAAACCTGACCTCTCCCATCACTACCTGAACCCCCAGGCAGGAAAGAGTCTTTGCCCACAGCCAGGCAGAGCAACTCACCCCGACAATGCTGTTGAGCTCGCCCATGGTCACCTGCTTGGCCCTTTCCACCGCCTGCAGGACCTGCTGCTGGTGCTGGGGAGGAAGAGCAGGGGCTGGTCACAGCCTGCTCCTGCCTGGAGGGAGCACTGGGCTCCACACTGCCCTGCACAGCCCTTCTCCCACCCCTCCAGCCAGGCATGGAGGTTTTCTTCCCCCAAATCTCCCGTTGTTCAGGCTGTGCCCCTTCCCAAGAAGGCAGAACAATCTGATGCACACCCCCTGCCTCCTCCTTACCTCCTGTGTCAGGAAGGGAATCATCTGGGCACAAATGGCACTCAGCCTCTTGACAATCTCTGCCTGAAAGAGGAAGCAGCAGGTACCAGCAGAGATCACCCATCCTGTGCCCCTCCAGCATCCTGCCAACGCTCAGCCTCAGCGGAGGAGTTCAAATCCCCCACCCACACCCTCTTGGCGGAAATTCTCCCGCTGCCTCTGCATCCCTGCTGGGATTTCCCGAGCTGCTGCCAAGGCAGGGCTCTGCCCAGGGCTGCTGGACCCCCTTAGCTGCCAGGCACAGGGGAGGGAGCCCACAATCCCTGCGTGGCCCCGGGCCAAGGCGAGCTCCAAGCTGTCAGTCCTGTCGCAGCCCAGCTGGCTTTGCTCAGCCCAAACCCATCCTGGCTTTGTGGGCAGGGACGGAGGGAGCTGAGCCACAGGAGCTGGCAGTGAGCCCTCCCTGTGCCTTCCCTTCCCAAACATCCAACTCCCAGCCAGGCCAGAGCAAGCAGGATGCAGAACTGCACAGATTCAGCCCTCTCGGCATCGCACCAGCAAACCCCACAAGGCTCTGGTGGTACCTGCCTGTCCCGGAGCAGAGACTCCACTCCCATCCCCAGGGCTCCCCCTGCTCATTCAGAGGCACAAAGCACCCCCAGAGCTGCCCCTGCCCACGGGGGAATGCAGAAAACCCGCTGCATCCCCTGAGGAGAGGCTCTGTGGTTGCAGACAAACCCACAGCCTTCCCACCGGGGCAAGCAGCTCTCCTGAGGAAAGGGGCTGCGACTTCCAGCCCAGCCTCTCCAAGAGAAAATCCACATCTCCTGGGGAAAATGGATTCCCCCCCTGCTGTAAATCCAGCCCGGGGCTCGCTGCTCTAAAGGGTTTTATCAGCTCAGGTTTCGGTGTTGCAGAGGTCAAACCACCAGGCTGGGAGAACAAAGGGAACATTTACCTGCAGTGCCCCGCAGCACCCTGTGCTCACCTGCAGCTCCAGCTGCTCTCCCAGCCACTGCCACCCTGCCCACAGAGCCAGAGACCCCCTCCTGCCCAGCCTCCCACTCCTCAACCGCTTGGCCACCACCTCGTGGGCAGAATCCGCAGCCCCACGGGGCTTGTGCCACCCCTGGCTCCCAGTCCCACTGGATTTGGGAGCGTGGAAGGGTGGCAGGAATGTGCTCGTGGTCCCCAGCACGCTCCCTGCTAACAAAAGGAGCAAACTCGGAGGGGCTGAGCCAGCTGGAGGGATATGGCAGTTGACTTGCCACTTTGTCAGGCACTGGTCCAAACTAATTTCCCTGGCAGAGAGCCCACGATGACTAGATTGATAAATCTGAAGAGGGAAAGCAAATTAACGCTGGAACAAAAGGAGAACCAGGGAAGGGTGAAAACACTCCTCTGGCTTTGGGAAAGGAAAAGGGGATTAAGAGAAAAAGAAAAGCAAGACAATCCATTTGCCTCTGGGCTCTAGCTCCTGCTGTTTCCTCCACAGCCCTCCTTCAAGTGGGGCCCCAGGGAAGCACTGCAGGGAGGCACCAGGGCTCACAGCAGGGCTCTGAGTGCTTCTCTTTGGGATGGGGAACTCAATAACACATCCTGACAACTGCTGGATCCCTTTGCAAGCCAGTCCCTGAACAGAGCCGTGTCACATCTCCCGTGCCACTAGAGCTACAGGGCTCAAGGGGATAATTTTTCAACAAAATCTCCAACCTCAGCCTCTTCCCCACCTCCCCTGCTGCTGTCCCAGCCCTCACTGCACTTACCTGCTTGTGCATTTCAATGTTCAGGCCGTAGGACATCTCGTAGTACTGAGAGGAAAACCACAGGACAGCCGGTTAGGAGCTGTCCAAGCAACTGGCCCAGCACCAGGCCAGGCTTTGGCTGGCTCCAGCCCACGAGGAATGGCTGGGACACTGTGCCAGGAGCCTGGGACAAGGCAGGGAGCAGTCACAGGCTGCTAACACCTGCAATTTGTTCAAGACAGGGGAAGCCAGTCCTGCTGCCTCCCCAGATCCTCTCCGGGCTCATCCCACCCCTCTTAGAACCCGATACAGGTTTCACCCTTCAGCAGCCACCAGTGACCCTGCCAGGGGTGCTGACCCCAGCCCCCCACAGCTGGGCAGAAAAGGGCACCAGAGGAGCTGCTTTCCCCCAGCAAAGCCTGTCCCAAGGGTAGCAATGCACCTCCAGAAATCCCTGAGCCCCCAGGGTGTGGGGAGGGATCCCAGCTGCTGGGTGAGAGGAACATGCCCTGCAACATCAACACCCAGCCTCACAGACAGGGCTCTATTCACCCCCAGGATGGGCTTTGCCCAAATTCACATCTTTTTGCCTCTTGGATGGTGTCACTTGGGTTCCCCCTTTCCCCAGAGGGGCCAGTAAGGTCAGATGCTGAAGGAGAAGGAGCTGTCCTGCTGTCCCCATCCTCTTTCCTTCCTCCCAGCAGCTCCCCTGCTCCTGGGGTTGGTGCTAGTGCCCAGAGCCTGTTAACCCTTCATTGTCAACTGTGGAGGGCTCCTACCCTGCTCCTTCCCCTTCCACCCAGACCATGAGCCTTGGAGCATCAGTTATTAAATATCCACCCTTTGGGAGAGAGAGAGGGAGGAGTCGGGAGCTCTTACAAGGCCAGATAGGAAAAGAAAAAAAAAAAAAAAAAAACCACATCAAAAAACCAAAACCAAAAAAAAAAAAGAGACAAAACCTATGGCAGGATTCCCAGGCTCAAGCAGCACCGAGCACCAAGAGCCAGCGTTGCTAGAAATGGTGATTAACCCCTTCCTCCCTCACATCTCCCCAGCTCCAAGATCAGCACTGGGCAGGGCAGCGGCTGAGGGGAGCCCCAGCACCCAGATCAGTGTGGGGGCAGCAGCCCAGGGGGACAGCCCCTGGGGGGACAGGGGGACAGAGCTCACCATGACATAATGTCTCTGCATCTCTGTCTTCTCGCTCAGCAGCTTCTCACATTCCAGCTTCAGGCTGCAAAGGGGAGCCAGGGCTTCCATTCACGGACCTGCACTCCTGCCCCATCCCTGGGGCACGCTCAGCGCATCTCCTGCGTGTCCCTGCGGGTTCCCGGGGGCTGCAGGGGTGTCCCACACCCTCCCTGGGGTGTCACACACCCTCCCTGGGGTGTCCCACACCCTCCCTGGGGCACCCACCCAGGGCTCTGTGCCCTCCCTGCCCCTACACCCCGCTCAGCCAGGGGAAACGCGGCTGCTCCTCCCCTTGGGACCCCCGCTCAACACTTGTCCCTCATCCCAAAGCCCTCTCCGCTTCCTCCCTCCCCCAGGCTCCTTTTCTCCACCTCCTCCTTCCCCACTTTCCCCCCTGCTGGAACCCTCCATCCTCCCTGGTCCCACCGGAGCTCAGCCCGCCGCCCACCCCGTTCCCGTTCCCGTGCCCGTTCCCGTGCCCACCTGTGGTACTGCGCCTGCAGGAGCTGAAATTCCTCCTTGATGCGCTCGCAGATTTCCAGCACCGAGAACTTGAAGGGCTGCCCGGGCTGCAGCGGGGAGACAGCCCGGGCTGGAGGCTGCGGCTCGGTCCCGCGGCCCGGCCCGGCCCCGCCGCCCCTGCCGCACTTACCGGGTGCCGTCCGTGCGGGAACATCCCGAGTGCCGGGGCTCCCGGTCCAGCCCTGCCGCTCGCGGGGCACGGGGGAGCTCCGGCCGGGCGGCGCTCCCGGGGGGCTCCGCTGGTCCCGGCGGGCCGGGGGCGGCCCCGGTGTGGCGGGGGAGCGGCCGCCCGTCCCCGCGCGCCCCGGCCGCCCGCGCCCGCTTAAGGACGCGCGTTCCCGCGGGGCTCGGGAGCTCCCGCGCCGGCGATGCCGGAGACCGAGGGAACCCCGGGCAAGGCGCCGGCTCTGGAGCCGCCGCTGCTGTCCCGAACGGAGCCGCTCGGGAGGCGCTCGCCCGTACGGCGGCCCCGGCCCGGAGCTCAGCGGGTGCTTCTCCCGCCCCCGGCCCCGCCACGCGCGCGGTGCCCAGCGCGGTGCCACTCCCGCGCGTGGCCCGGAGCATCCCCCGGTCCCCGGGAGCGACACTGGGCGCTGCTACCGCCCCCGACGCTGCGGACGGACGCGGCACCGGCCGCCGGCGAGGCAGCGCCCGAGGGCGCACATCACAAACGAGTGCAGCGGGACAGTGCCCGCGGGGTCGGGAGCCGCAGGGGCAGCGGGGCGCGGTGCACAGTCGGGCCGGATCCCCGGGGAGCAGCCCCCGGTGTGCCCGGGGCGGGCACGGGGCTCCGCCATCCCGTCCCCTCCTCCCGCTCCACCTTAACCGGCCCGCAGCCCGCCGCGGCGCGCTCGCACCGGCCATTGGCTGCCGCTGCCGGAGCGCCAGCCAATCGCCCCGCGCGGTTCCCACATGGGCTCGTGACGCCAGAGAGCGGGACGGCCAATGAGAAGTGAGCGAGCGGCCGGAGCCCCCAAGGAGGCGCCGCGGGGCACGCTGGGAGTTGTAGTCCGCCCTTGGCTACGCCCTCACGGCGGCGGCGCTCCGGACCGGTCCGCGCCGTCCGTGCCGCCGCCGCGGGCTCGGGGAGCGGCCCGGCCGGGGTTTACCGCGGGGCTCGGCCCGGCGCCGCGAGCCAGCGGGGCTCCCGCCGCGGGCGGCCCGGGCAGGCAGACTGCGCGGCCCACGAGGCCTTGCGGCTGGCGCAGCTGCCACTCAAAGTAACGTGGGGCGGCGGCGGGAGCGCCCCGGGTCCGTGCGGGGCTCCGTGCGGGGCTCCGGCGGGCAGCGCTCCCGCCGAGCGTCCCGGAGTGGGAATCACCGAGTCCCGGTCCCCCCCGACCCCTCCAGCCGCGGCTGCTGCGAAGTCGCCGCGCTCGGGGGCGGTGGAAGCGGGCGAGGAACAACCTTTAAATATTGCAGGACCCAGCTGTACCTGGGCACTGCGCAGGCAGGCACGAGGTTAAATATTTAATGCCTCACATTTCATCCTGATCTTTTATTCATTGTGTTATTTACGTGCTGCATGCTGGCAGCCACCGGGGCACGGACAAGGTGCTGGGCACTGGAGGCTCTTCCTCTTGTTGCCCCCGTGCCATCCATCCCTACATCCATACATCCATCCATACATCCATCCCTTCATCCATCTATCCCTCCATCCCTCCATCCATCCATCCCCTGGTGTCCCTGCCTCTCCTCCCCAGCCAGGACTGGTGGCTCTGCTGGCAGTGGCCAGGCTGGCCCCAGACCCTGTCAGTCCCAAGCAAGGATCCAACCCAGCCCCTTTACCTTTACTTTTACCTTTACCTGTACCTTTCCCTTTCCCTTTCCCTTTCCCTTTCCCTTTCCCTTTCCCTTTCCCTTTCCCTTTCCCTTTATCTTTCCCCTTTCCCCTTTCCAGGTGTTCTCTGGGCAGATCCACTGACTCAGGCAGTGATGGACACCAGTTTCAAACCCTCCAAAACCCTCCCTTCTGTGCAGTTACATAGATTTTTTTTTCTGTGTTTACACCATATATCTGCATATTTTAATCCAAATGTAAAGTTTTAAAGGGTTTTTTTTCTCTCTGTGTGTGTGTTGCCTTATTGGGAGAGCTGAGGTTTTGGTTTTTTTAAAGGAAAATGTATTTTCAAAGGCTGGAAACGTTTCAGATTGTGTTTCAAGGGAAGAATAGACTGAGGAGATGTTTTGCAGCGTTTTTCAAAACTCTTTTCTGAAAATTGCCAGTTTTCCTTTGGCAGTCTCTGTGCTCCTGTCTCAGGAGAGTGACACAGGTAAACCCGGAGCAGGCAGCTCGGGAGTGATGGGTGTCACACCAGCCTCCAGCAGTGATTGACATGAGCCCTGGAGCAGCACAGCCTGTAACCCAGAGATTAATTTGTGTTTGGATGGGAGAAAACAACCTTGGCACTTAACCCTTGGCACCCCCAGCAGCAAGAGGAGATGGTCCTGCCGCTGTCCCCGGGCATGGGGACTGTGCTGGGCAGAACCCACAGCCCAGCCCTGGCTGTCCCACTGCAGAATGCTCAGCCACCCCCTGCAGCAGCCACAGCTCTGCCTGGTGCTGGCAGGGCCTGGAAGAGCCCCAGAGGAGGAGAATATGTGAAATCCATGCTGGGATCAAGAGGCAAGAGAAAGCAGCAGAGAAATCGAACCAGCGCAGGCTTTGGGACACCCAGGAGCTCCATCTGAAACTGGATCCCAGCAAGAGAGGTTCTGCTGCTGGAATTACCCTGGGATTTTGCCTTTCAGCTCCCTCCCTGGATGCCAGCCTGGCACAGGGCAGCCCAGCTCTGTCCTGCTCCATGCCACGGAGGTCCCACACACAGCCCCTGTGTCCAGCACATCTCCAGAGGGGATGGATGCTCAAGGGCAGAGCCCACCACGTTTTGCAGACACCGAGGGTGGCTGTGGCTCATCAAACCATCCTGATTTCAGCTGCTCCTTTGCCTGCTTGAATGAGGAGGCACAAACTCAGCAGAGTAGTTCCTGGCACCGTCAGACAGTGTGAATTTCCCAGGGCAGCTGGCACAAACAGGGACCTGGTCCTGGCTGGAGTCAGTCCTGGAATGAACATGGGATGGGAAGGGGAGCTGAGGAAAGGATCTGGCAGCAAACCAGTGAGATCTAAGCCAAAGCTGTACTGGAAACCAAGGTTCCCCAGTTCCCTGAGCTCCACTTCCAGGACCAAACTGCAGCTTCCCATCCCCAGACCTCCAGTGCTGGTGTCCACCCTCCAAAGCCACATGTCCCCAGAGCCCTTGGTGTCCCCTCCAGGTGTCCCTGGTTCCAGAGCTGCAAAAAGCAGTGGGAGCCCTCAGAGCAGCCAGCAGCTGACAGCCTCTGCTCTCTGCCTTCGATCTGTGTTGGCTCCTGTTTGCACTTAGCAGCTCTGAGTGGTTTTTAATTATTGATGCCTCCTTTAGCTTTTATCTGGTGCTGCTGCAGCCAGGAAGGGCTCGGCATTCCTGCATCAGCCCCGCTCCTCCACGTTCCTGTGCCATTGTTCCAGGCAGAGCTGGGCTGTAAAATGAGGAGGGTGGGAATCGCAGGGGGATGTGCCAAAGGCGACTCCCGCTGGGAATTCTGTCCTGCGGGAAGGACCCAAACAGGTGAAACCCAGTGAGAAACTGCCAGCTTCTCTCTGCAAGGAGGAGGAAGGAGGCTGGGCTTTGACCCTCCAGTGCCAGGCAGGTGGAAGGGAGGAGAAGGGTGACTGACAGCAGAGTTTTGTCGAGCCCCTGGCAGCTGGGAGCGTGTCAAACCTGGGTTAATGCTGTGCTGCTTGGGGGTCAGGACATGGGGCACTGCCAGGTGGGTCCTGCCCCTGCCCTCTGCCCCCTGTGTCCACCACAGCCTCTGTGGGCAGCAGGGCAGGGGCTGGCACTGCGTCTCTGCCCACCCTTTATGAGTCAGGGCTCTGCTGAGTTTTCCCAAGGATCCTGGGGCAGCAGAGCTGGTTCTCAGACCATCAGCCCTGTCCCATCCCTGTCCCGCTCTGGCACCACGAGGAGAAAGGGCTTTTCTGCCAGGAGCCACTCCAATCATCCCTGGGCAGCTTTCCCTTGTCACCTGTGTCCTTGCAAGTGCTGAGCTGCTCTGCAGGGCCTGAGAGGGGCTCCTGCCTTCTGAGAGGTAGCAAGGCCTGTTTGGAAGGAGAGAAGCTGTTTCCTCAGTTCTGCAGCTACTGGCAGAGTGACCAGGGAGGTATTTTTAACCCTTTTCTTTGCTGTTGGTGTGGGTTAGACTTGCAGTTTGTTCTGTAGTTGAGATTTGAGGCCAAATCTGAGAAGGTGCCCTATGAAGTGACTCCCTTTGGAGAGTGGCAAACAGAGCCAGGCTGGAAGCACAGGGAACAGCCCTGCTCCTCGGTAGGATGGGATACCCCGACCTGCAGGGAAATGCTTCGGGAATGGAACATCATGGGAAGCAGGAGCAGAGCACAAGGCTCAGCTCAGCACCTGCTGGAAGGTGCAGGCGATTTGGAGAGCCCAGAAGTTTTCTCTTTGTACTTTAGCAGAGGGTTATTTCCCCAGAGGGAGCAGGGCCACCCCCACAGCCCAGCCTAGAGCAGCTCCCCAGTGGCCTCGTGGTTTGTCCAACAGTGAACCCAGGCCGCTGATCAGCTCCAACTAGAGCGACCTCTGCTCCTGAAAGCAGCCCTGAACAATTCCTCCTAAATCCTCCTCCCTTGCACACCCACCAGGAGTAACATCCCCTGTCCCAGGGCTGGGGGCACCAGGACTCCCCCAGCACAGGCTTCTCCCCAGAGGAAGGAAATTTTCCCACTCCAAGTGGCCTAAGAGATACTGAGGGGAAGATGTTATCAGGGTGGAGCAGGCTCTGAAGTCAGAGGACAGCTCTAATTATCGAGAGCCAATTCCATTACAGCAATCTCAGCCCCAGGGCACCGCAGGCCGGATTTTCCAGAGGGGCCTGAGAGCCACAGAAGTAGCTTATCCTCTGTGCCCACAGGAAAAATGAATTATGCACGCACAGAGCCCGAAGGGACCTCCACATGTGTTACCAAAGCAGCAGAGAGCTGATAGACCTCGGGGGCACTTTGCTCCTTGCTTTTCTTCTGGAGACTCCCCCACTCCCTTTTCATCACCCACCGCTTTCACCTTGAGCTGGTTGGTCCTGGGCATCCTCCTGGCCCTGGTTCCAGCAGGGACTCGGTGGGAAT